GGAAAATAACTCGCGTAATTCCCATATAATAGCGGGTATATGCGCCCGAATATTTTTGTCAATTTTGTGAGATTCAGGGCATCGCAACATGTTGAAATGCCGGCAAGCTTGCAAGGTTCTTAAAGAGAATTAATATCGGTTGTTTCGGACCGAATCATCTACCTCCTTCAGTGGCCCTCCTTCAGTCAATCGCTACTTCTTGCATGACTTCTTCAATAGGCCCATCAGCAATGGCTTTTTCGAGTGCGGCATCTCATCATGTAGTTTCTAACCCTTCTTCTTTACAGGGCTATACAGATTATGGTGGACCAGATGAAATTCAACTTGGTGATGGTAAAACTCTTGCTGTAACACATACTGGATTTGCTACTCTTCCAGCTGATTCTACATATCTATCTCTTCCTGATGTGTTGTGTGCCAAATTTGCACAAAAATTTGATTTCTATTGCCAAGTTATGTCGGACTAACCATGTTTCTGTGGAATTCTTTCCACTTTATTTTGTTGTGAAGGATCTGCGCACGGGGGCGTCTCTGCTACGAGGCCAGAATATTGATGACATTTATTGTGCAAACTTTTCTCAGTGTCATTCCATCCAATTCACAGTTGCATACTACAGCTCGTGTGTCTTCTCTTTCTACCTTGCATCAATAGCTTGGGTCATCCGTTCTTAATAAATTTTTTAGTATACGCCTTCTTAACGTATGGGTTTGAGTTCATTGTCTAACGTCTGGTTTTCCAATTTTCATTTTGTGCTTTCTTTGTTCAATGAGTAAAAAGCCATTTAAATGCCTTTTTCAGAAAAATTCTCTTTTTATAGTACTTAAACCCTTTGGCAACTTTTCTGATGTTTGGGGACCAACAAAACAATCCATTGATGGTTATGTGTATTATGTCACATTCATTGACCACTTTACTAAATATACCTGGCTATATCCAATGAAAAAAAAATCAGATACACATGATCTATTTATTTATTTTCAAAAACTAGTAGAGAATTATTTTCAAACCAAAATAATATCAGTTTTTTTCTGATAATGGCTAATGGCGGTGAATATCAAAAATTACAATCGCATTTTCTATCTTGTGGTATTTCTCACTATACATCGCCGCCACACATTCCCGAACATAATGGAATCCCGAACATAATGGAACCGCTGAAAGACGACATCGATTTATTGTTGAAACCGGTCTCTCTCTATTACATTTTGCATCTTTGCCTCCTGAATTTTGGTCTTATGCATTTCTTGCAGCTGTCTATCTAATAAACCATTTACCATCATCTGTTCTTTCTTTTGCGACACCATTTTTCCAGTTATTTGGTCGGTCTCACAATTCTAATCATCTTAAATCTTTCGGCTATTTGTGCTTTCCTTGGCTGCGTCCTTATGTCAGTTCCAAATTGCAATCTCGGTCACAACCTTGTATATTTTTGGGCTACTCTTCTACACAATCTGCTTATAAGTGTTATGATCCATCTACCAAAAAGTTGTATCTCTCTCGGCATGTTAAATTCGTCGAGCATGTTTATCCCTTCAAAGTTTGCACTGATGTTAGTCAATTTACAATGTTATTTTCAGATGTTCCCTGCGCAGGTGTTGCACAACAAACTAACACTAGTCCTGTCATGGTTGATCAGCTGCCAGTCCCTAATATATCACTACAATCTGCTGTTGTTTCAACTCCAGCTCCTGAACAGCAGCAACAAGATGTTTCTACTTCAATTGCTGGTTCTTCTTCTGCTGCAATGTCAGTCTCTCCACAAGGTAGTCCTGCTTCAGATTCACCTGTCTCACCTGGTATTGTGCCTTTGGTTGCTACTGATAGTTCCTTAGTTTCTGCTGCGTTACCATTGGTTGTTGGTTCTCGGTCTCAACGTCAATGGAAACTTAATACACGGTACTTTAATGATTCTTTTGTGAATGTTACAACTACATATCCTATACAAGATTCTGTTGAACCGAGAACTGTTAAGCAAGCACTGCAAGATGCCCTCTGGCGTCAGACTATGGATTCTGAATATAATGCCTTGTTGACAAATAAAACATGGGAGTTGGTTCCTCAAGCTCATCATAAACCCATTGGGTGTAAATGGGTGTTTCGCATTAAGCGGAAACTCGATGGCACTATTGACAGGTACAAGGCGACACTCGTCGCTAAAGGTTTTTTACAAGAAGAGGGTCGTGATTATTTTGAGACATTCAGTCCTGTCACAAAAACTGTCACGATTAGAGTGGTTCTTACAGGCAGTTTCACACGGTTGGCCATTGCGGCAGCTTGACGTTAATAATGCTTTTTTACAGGGTACTCTTCATGAAAGTGTCTATATGCAACAACCTCTGGGGTATGTGAATACTGATTATCCTGATTATATTTGCTGCTTACGTAAGTCACTTTATGGTCTTAAACAAGCGCCGCGCGCTTGGTATATTGAGCTTACCACATTCTGAGGATCACTTGGGTTTCGGAAATCTAATGTTGATGCTTCTCTTTTTATCTTTAGCTCAAATGGTGTTATTACTTATTTTCTCATATATGTCAACGATATAGTGCTTACTGGTAATGACACTAAATTTCTGGATGAATGTGTTTCTCGTTTGGCCAAATGATTTTCTATTAAGGACTTGGGTACCTTACATCATTTTCTGGGTGTGGAGGTTATTTCTACATCTACAAGCCTTTTTCTCTCGCAACATCGACATATACATATCCATGATCTCTTGGTTAAATTCAAAATGGCAGGTGCAAAAGCGGTTAGTACACCTCTGTCCACTAGTGACAAGTTAGTTTTATGTGATGGGTCCCCTTCTGCCGATGCTACTGTTTATAGGCAGATTATTGGAGCTTTGCAGTACTTGGCTATTACAAGGCCGGATGTGTCTTTTGCAGTCAATCGTTTATCTCAGTTCATGCATGCTCCAACACAAAATCATTTTCAAGCCTTGAAGAGAGTTATGCGATATTTAAAAGGTACAATCTATTATGGATTATTTCTTCGTCGCCATTCTGCTCATAAATTAACAGCATTTTCTGATTCTGAAGGATCACTTGAAGGAAGATCAACAACTGCCTATGTTTTATATCTTGGTTCTAATGTTATCTCCTGGAAATCCACTAAGCAGAAGACGATGTCTAGATCTTCCACTGAGACAGAATATAAGGCATTGGCTAATGCTGCAGCTGAATTAATATGGGTTCAAAATTTGTTAAAAGATTTGAGCTTTCCTGTTTTAGAACCCCCAGTTATTCATTGTGATAATATTGGAGCCACTTACTTTTGTGCAAATCCAATATATCACACCAAGATGAAACATCTTGCCTTGGATTATCATTTCGTGCGAGAAAGAATACATGCTGGTCAGCTTAGGGTCCATCATATTAGCACTAAAGATCAAAATGCAGATATGCTCACCAAGCCTCTTGGTCGCCCACAGTTTCAACTTTTCCGATCCAAGATTGGAGTTTCCGATGGATCCTCCATCTTGCGGGGGCGTATTAAGGATAAAGCTAAGCACTAACTACTTATCTCTGTTTTTATAATTTGTATTTCTCATCTCCTTATCTCTGTTTTTATAATTTGTATTTCTCATCTCCTTTATATACGCCTATCTTATATATAGGTTAGTTATAGTCTTGGTATATATAAATAGTGCTGTAACTATATCTGTTAAATACATAAGAATCATATTCTTCATAATAAACAAGAGATTAACAAACAAGACGGGGGAGGCAGAGCAAAAAGAGGGATTTAATTTAAGTTAAGGTCTAATCAATGCAAGTTTCTTATAAGCATTCTTCAGCTCTGTTGGTGTGCATTCCTTATTCAAGCCCAGTACTTGATAGAAGTCTTTGCTTTTGCTTTCATCTTCTCCATTTGCCATTTCTTCTCCTCGAATAATCAAAACCCACACCAAAACCAAAAACCACAAAGATTTTTTCTTGTTGACAAATTAAACTAAGCCAGAACCTAAAGCAGAGATCAAACAGAAACACACACATATATATATATATATATATACATCAAAAACAAAAAAAGATTACATCTTTATTGAAGAAAGAACACGGAATCTCAGCCCGTAGTTTATTTCGTAGGAGTAAAGATTTAAGATGTCCAAAAAAAAGGTTCTGTGCCCAAATTCAAGAAGGGTATTACTGTAATTTAATAAGTCGAAATAATAATTTTCGTTTTAAATATGCATGACGTTACTTTTTACATAAAGAGCGAGGAGGGATATTTTGGGGAAATTATTTCTAGAAGTCAATAGGGTCCCACATCGACGCAACCATGATTAAACTTGTTGGCTTGGGTACCAAATCAAGAGCGGTTCTGAAGTTGGGTGGAGCGGTTGACTTGTGGTCAATGGGTCATTTAGATCATGTTTTTTTATCAATCTAGTCTAGTTTTCTACAGGGGGATCATCTGGCAAAGAAAAGGCTGCCTTCTCCGAAAGGAAAGTGAAGCATCATCTTCTTTTCTTCGAGTTTTGACTTTTCAACCTTGTGAGTCGTGAGATCATTTTCATTTTTACAGTATTTCTTTTTGAAATGACAGCGTACATACTTTTTTTTTTTAAAAAAAGGAAGTACACTGTCATTTAAAGCAACTTCCTTTGATAAATAACAATTAAATATCTTACTTTCTCAAATTTAAAAAACAAAAAGAAAATAAAATTTGGTTGATATTTATTACATATATTATATTTTCCATAGTTAGTATAAAATGTTTAATTATTTTACTTTTTTTTTTTAAATTTTCTACGAAAACATTGATTTCCAATGACTAGATTCAATGGATAAAGATGAGAATTTCCTGACTTCTTTAAATATATACTTAATATTTGGAAACCTTCTATGGATAAAATTGAATTTCCACATGTTTTTTTAAAAGTTTATTTAAATTTATATTTTAATTAATTCATTAAATTACAAATTAAAAAACGTTTCGTTTTTGGTGTCTCGCCGTTTTACCAAATAAATAAATATCAAGTATAAAAACCGGATGGTAGTATTTTTGACGCGACAATAGACAAAAGTGGGGCTGTTTAAAAAGATATGCAAAGATCTCAAGAAATATTAGATCTTCAGAATCTTGCCTTTATCTTCCATCTTTCGTTTCTTTCTTTACAACTTCTTATTTAAAGCATGACCCAAATCTTTCGCTTTCCCATTCTCTTCATTTGCTATATAAACCTCTCCATACTTTAGACATCTAATAATCTTCTACTTTCTTTCTTGATATATTCTCCGGTGATATGGCCGTGGCCGGTGAAATTCTCAGACGGAGTTTGGCTGAGGAGGTTGGCGTCTCTAATGGATCATCTTCTTGTTCTGAGGAGCTTCATGTTCTTGCTGTAGATGATAGCTTCGTCGACAGAAAGGTTATTGAACGGTTACTTAGGATTTCTTCTTGTAAAGGTGCGTTCTTTTTTTCTTTTCAATTTAATTAAAACTCAGATTTTGATTGGATTTGGATTTGATTGAATTTTGGTATTTGCAGTTACTGCTGTTGAGAGCGGGACCAGAGCTCTGCAGTATCTTGGATTGGATGGAGAGAAGAGCTCTGTTGGCTTCAATGTAAGTCTAAGCTTTTTCTTTTCCTTCTTACTTATTGCTGTTTGGTTTATGAGAAAAATGGATGAGGAAATAAATGATTTTTATTGATATTTGGATCTGATTGCAGGATTTGAAAGTGAATCTTATAATGACAGATTACTCTATGCCTGGCATGACTGGATATGAACTACTCAAGAAGATCAAGGTATGAACTTTTTATCCCTGTTTAGTTCTCGAGAAAAATTAAAGAAAATTATGAAGTTATAAAAAAAACCATCTTTAATTTGCATGCTAACATGTACTAATTTTAATTTTGGAGCAGGAATCATCAGCTTTCAGAGAGATACCTGTAGTGATAATGTCATCTGAGAACATTTTGACTCGAATTGATAGGTGAATACCAATTTTACGTTTCTCTTAATCAAAACACAATTAATTTGATAAAATAATGTTTAAATAATAACAAAATCTAATAATATCTTGGTCAAAAAAATAAAATCATTAGATTTATCATTTCTTGACCTGGAAAATTATAAGAAAACGCGTTTGTGAACCAATGGACTAAAATGATATTAGCATGTGATTACAGATTTTGCCTGATTAGTTTAATATGAAAAATGTAATTAATTATTTGTCTAATGATTATAATTAACAGGTGTTTGGAGGAAGGAGCAGAGGAATTCATAGTAAAACCAGTAAAACTATCAGATGTGAAAAGGCTGAAAGATTTTATAATGAAAGGGGAAGGAGAAGAAGAAAAGAGGAAGAGAAAAATTCTGAAGAGAAAATTGCAAGATGGTGTGTTTTCACTATCTTCATCTGATTTGGCTGTAGAATTACCATCTCCTTCTCGTTCCTCTACCATTTGTATGCCTAAAAGGCCTAAATTGGTGAACAGAGACTGATATTATGGTCACTTAAAGAGTGTATTAATACCAATCCATGGATGGAGGGATATAATTTTTGTTAATTTTTGTTATTTGTGCACATAATTTGCTTACCAAATTGATTTGATGAAGAAAAAAAAAAAAAAGAAATCAGATACTATGCAAGAAATATCAGAAACTGACTTGATTACCCCCTTTATAAATTTTTAATTTTTTAATTTCTTGTGGAAGTTCTGAACTCTAATTCATCTGCAAATGAAAAAGTGAATGAAAGAGATCCCAATCTAACCAGAAACATTTAAAAGATAATATGAGATGCTCGAAAATAAAAAAAAAATAAAAGAAAAATATTGAAACCTAGTATTAATTAAAGAATCAAATAAGATTTTGTATTGATTATTTGATTATTCTGTCCAGATTGTGCATCTCCTTTTATCTTTTAGTTATCGAGTATATGGACCCAAATTGGAATCCAAAGTCCTTCTATGGCTATAATTACATTGACCAAACCTAGGTCTGGACTTTAACGTAGGCTTGGCATCAAGTTATTGATTGACTAATATTTTTAATTTTCACTTGTTTATGCTGAAATCAACTCTCATACTGCTTATTTATTATTAGGCTTGGGATAGGCATGACCCTAGTTTTTAGAACCAGAACCCTCGGTTTGAAATCGATGGGTCCGGAATCGGAAAGAAAGCTTTGTTTTCTCATCCTTCACCATTTAACGCCATGCGGCAGCTTGGATGTGAGAGACATTGAAAAGCTTTTCTTGATTATCATAATACTGTATGATGCCAAGAAACTCCCACAGGTAGAGCTTAACTGTCAAAAGCAAGCGGTAAAATCCAAATTATACATCGTCAAGAATAAACAATGATCAAACAATAATGTCATTCCAACATATAAAGGCTATAATATAGGAAAATATCGAGGAAGGACGGCTAAAACTGTCCAAACCAAATCATCACCAACACCCATGAAATGTTCTTAGCCTGCAACAACAATACTACTTTACAATACAAGGGCATTTTGGTCATTTCAAAGACCGAGATCATACTAATATTAATAGTAACTCAAGACAACAACCAAGTGCATTGGAAGAGTCAGCAGACAACATAATACAGAATGACAGAAAATAACATTTGAATTTCTTCTGTTAAGCGTATTAGTCCTCAGGAGAACACTTCGAATTTCTGATGAAAATGGAGTCTCCACCAGTATTATCACCCTCATCATCATCGTCGCATGGAAAAGAAATAATCGCTATTGTTGCCACCGCTGCAATTACTCTTATTATTGCTGCAATCTTCTTTTTCTGCTATAGATATGTTAGACGCCGGCAGAAAACTAAAATTGGCACAAGCTTTCAACAAGATGTGGTGACATATGAAGAATTCAGAAATTTTGGTGGAAGAGTGAAAGGACTAGTTGTCGATGAAAATGGGCAAGAGGTTGTCTATATCAAAGATTTAGAAGATGGGGAACTTAAAATCAATTTGTCAAAGGTTGTGTTGAATTCTAGCTATGAAGAAGGAGAAGAAAATATGACAGAAAAGAGAACGAGAAAATGCAAGCTTGAGGAAGTAAAAGAGTGTCAAAGTAAAGTCATAGAATCAGTTCAACCAAATCAACTAGTACAGCTACCTCCACCACCACCCTCTCTATCAAAGAAAGTTAAAGCACTACCACCACCACCTCCTCCTCCTCCACCACGCCCACTCCCAATGATAGTGAAAAGACCTCTTATACCATCACCTAGGGCTGATAATTTGGTTTCATCACTAAGACCGCCGCCATTACCAAGAGGGGACACAAACAACGTTACAAAGAAGAGTTCAGGGCCGACGAGCGGTAGCAATGTGAAGAAGCTAAAGCCATTGCATTGGGATAAAGTTGTAGCTAATACTGATCATTCAATGGTTTGGAATGAGATCATCGATGGCTCTCTCAGGTTGTCATTCATACATATATATATTTGTTATATATGTTTACTCCCTAAAGCATTTAACTGTGTAGATATACCTTAATGCATTCTTGTTCCTATTTTCTTTCAGAGTTGATGATGACCAAATAGAAACGCTGTTTGGATACAAAAGTGCTACCGGCAAAACCCATCAAGGAAATAAGGCGTCACCAAGTATTAGCAGTTCCAGTGCTGCCTCTACTCAAATTTTCATCCTTGACTCCCGCAAGTCGCAGAACGCAGCAATTGTAATAAAATCACTGGCAATTTCTCGCAAAGAAATCCTTGATGCTATTCTTGAAGGCCATGGTCTTCCCATTGATATCCTTGAAAAACTTGTCAGGATTTCTCCAACCCAAGAAGAAGAAGCCAAAATTCTCCAATTTACAGGCAACCCCAGTAAGCTTGCAGATGCTGAATCTTTCCTTTACCATATCCTGAAAACTGTTCCATCAGCATTTTTCCGGATGGACGCAATGCTTTTCAGATCTAATTATGATGCAGAAATTCTCCAACTCAAGGAATCCTTACAAACACTTGAATTGGGATGCAAGGAACTAAGAACTCGAGGCCTTTTCTTAAAACTTCTCGAAGCCATTCTCAAGGCTGGTAATAAGATGAATGCTGGGACAACTAGAGGCAATGCAAAAGGTTTCAACCTTACTGCTCTCAGACAGCTTTCTGATGTTAAAAGCACTGATGGCAACACTACTTTACTTCATTTTGTGGTCGAACAAGTAGCTCGATCAGAAGGCAGACGACAGTTTATAAATGATATTAGAAATATTGAGAGAAATGACGGTCAAAAAGGAACAAATAGCGATTTAGATTCAGATACAAAGGCAGCAGCAGAGGAAGGAAAAGAGTATGTATTGCTAGGATTACAAGCATTAGGGAAACTGAGAATTGAATTTTCCAATGTAAAGAAAGCCGCTACCATAGAATATGACAGCTTCATCAGCACATGCTCTTCTCTTACAACCCGAGTTGTAGAAATTCAGATGCTCACTACACGCTGTAGCAATAGCGACGGAGGCAGTTTTGTGAGAGAAATGAAAGGATTTTTAGAGTGCTGTGGAGAGGAGCTAAAGGTGGTGGCGGGGGAGCAAACAAGAATTATGGAGCTTGTGAAGAGAACAACAGAATATTATTGCCAAGCAGGAGCTTCAAAACATGATAGAGAAAACCTGCTTCAAATGTTCGTTATTATTAAAGATTTCCTTGACATGGTTGATCAAGTCTGTATAAACATTTCTAAGAAGTTTCAGAAGAAGAATATGGCAGCAGCAAGTGCAGAATCAGCATCACCGCCATTGCCATCAATTTCAACTTCAGAAAAATTCCAAGACTTTCGTTTACATTTGATATCAGATTCGTCGAGGACTGAATTTACTAGTGAATCAGATGATGAATTTTGAAGGCAGTTTAATAAAGTTCTACGCAAATTTAATATTTAAAAATATAAGTAGCAAAAAAGTTGTGTTCAATGGAAATAAAGAAATAAAATTTTTTGATATTTTCAGAAGCAATTTTACAATATAAACTGCAACAGTTGAATGTAACAATATAAGGTTCAAAACTGATACCTTTTCTCTAAGAACTAAAAAGAGAAATATAATGCTACCACCACAAAAGGGGGGAAAAGAAACTAGAAACAGCAATCGTTTCTTTAAAATAAAAAACTAGACGCAATCAACCCACAAAATACTGTACTTCCAATCATTAAAAATGCCAAATCCCAGGCAAAGAACACAACCTCGGCTAAGAACTAAGGGCTTTCAGAATTAAAGGTGATTATACTCTCTTCTAAATAAAAAACAATCTAAAATAATTCAGTTAGCAGAATAAATATGGTAGAGTTACTTGAATAACTACAGGTTTGGTAGTATGTAATCAAAGTCTGGTGCAGTTTTTCTGAGTTTCAAGCCATCTTCCACTCCCATTAAGAAACAGTAATATTCATATTTTGAACTATTTCTCAGCTACCAAATAGCATACATATAAAAAAGACCCAGTAATAACAACCACACAGCATAATAAAATTGCAAATATAACAAAAGAAATCAACCATGCTTTGTTGGTTTCTTCTGCAGAAACCCTTTTTGAATAACAATTCAATTCCCAAATACGAAAGAGAGTTAGTGACTTGATCTTATAAAGAAGCTTACTTGATTGATTGAACTGAATAAAATGTAGAGTAAATTGGCAAACTTTAGTCACCCCATTTATTATTCCACAAGGAAGCAGAACAGAAAATGCTTTGCAATTGAACTTCAATTCCTCGCATGATTTCATTTCCTTCTTGCAGTACATGAATCTCATTCACAGCTATGTTTATAAGATGGGATTCATCAATAATTTTTAAGAGAAAAGAAATCTAAGGTAATTTGGTTTGAACTGTTTTGAAAAAGAATGCATCTTGTCCACGTAATCTGTAGGTGTTCGTATATGTAATATACATGACTTAGCATATTTCGTTAAGATTATCGTAGTTTTGTTAAAATAAAAAGTACCTCATGTGTTCTTTACGGAAAAAAAAAAAGAAATTTTATTTTTAAAAGAATTTAATTGCATATAAGTGGATTTAAAATTTTAATTTATTCAAAAAAATTATATTTATCATCATAATTGAAATTGTAAAATTTTTAGTTACAATCATATAAATTGATAATAATTAATTTAGTTATAATTTATTCTACAAATTGAATTAATTAAATTACACAAAAGTTTTAGAAAATTCAATTATATTAAGAAAAGGAAATATTATTTAGTCCATATAATATGGTGACATTAATTATTTAGTTCTTGTGTTTTAAAAATATAATATTCAATCCTGTGATTTATAACCATTGAAAAATTAGTCACCCCATCAAAAAAATTATACTTTATCCCTTATCCTATTTTTATTGTATTTTTTATGCTATTGTACTTTTTATTCTAAAAATAAAATTAATCCTTTTAATAATATGAATAATATATTTTTACTTTTAGCATATTATTTTTCAATAATATGAATAATTTTTTATATTGTTGAAAATTTAACTTTACGTAGAGAAAGACAATAGAAATAGAACAAAAGGTATTTTAATTCTTTTTATTCAAAATTTATGGTAAAGAATTATAATTTTAGGTGAAAAGACTTATCAATCCAATAGAGAAGCAAATCACGAATACCTATTTATATATTTTTGAAATTATATTGACTAAATAGTTAATTTTACCGAATTAGATAATTAAACACTTTCACCATTCCTTAACATTTGACAATTTTTGAGTTTTCAAAAGAATTAAAAAAATAAATTAAATCACCTCCATTATATATAAAAAAAAATCATTGATTAAATTATCTTTTAATTAATGATCTCCTAATTGAGATAAAATTTAGTGCAATTGAAAAGTTGAAATAAAATAATTAATAATTATTTTAATATGTTAAAATTATTATCTAAATAGAATAAAAAAAGTTAAAAATATTTAACTAAACAGAACAGTAATAATTTATCTTTTTAGTTTTAACAAAAGCAATAATTTATCTTTAAGAAAAGGTAGTAATTACAAATGTTAAAAAATTTTGAGTGCATTGAAGAGTTTCAATAATGGGAAGTGACTTTTCACTTTTCGGCTTTTAATGCAAAATATAAAACCTTTAGACATGTGCGGATTTGCACGTTCCTTACCTAATAAATGCTCTTTCAAAAGTATGCAAGCAAACAAACGACACACTCTCCAAGAGAAATTAGAATAGTTCAAAGACAAGAAGAAAAGATCTGAACAACCAAAGCTAACACTGTTAAAATACTAAAACAGTAAAACTAACGACTAAAAAAGAAACCAATAACCAAAGGGCCTGCTTGACCCCAACAACAAGTAGTCAAGAACTTCACCATTATTGTATTGAAAGGAATAAAGGGTCATTGCTTTTGTAAGCTTCCTGGAATCTTCAATCCCAATTAACCAAAGTCGAGTCAAGATCATTTGTTTCAACACCCTTCAATGGGTTCTTTCATAAATTGTTGTATTGAAAGGGATAAAGGGTCATTGTTTTTGTAAGCTTCCTGGAATCTTCAATCCCAGTTAACCAAAGTCCAGTCAAGACCATTTATCACGACACCCTTCAATGGGTTCTTTCATAAATTGAAAGGGATAAAGGGTCATTGTTTTTGTAAGCTTCCTGGAATCTTCATCCAGTTAACCAAAGTCCGGCAGTCAAGGACCATTTTATCACTTTGTAAGCTTCCTGGAATCTTCAATCCCAGTTAACCAAAGTCCAGTCAAGACCATTTATCACGACACCCTTCAATGGGTTCTTTCATAAATTGTTGTATTGAAAGGGATAAAGGGTCATTGTTTTTGTAAGCTTCCTGGAATCTTCAATCCCAGTTAACCAAAGTCCAGTCAAGACCATTTATCACGACACCCTTCAATGGGTTCTTTCATAAATTGAAGAAGAAGAAGAAGAAGAAGGAATCAACTTTTCAGAATCTAACAAGAAAAATAAGAAATGGGTAGTGTTACGCTTCTAGAGAATATAGGGATCAGAGAAGAAGTGATCAAGAAAGTAAGCTCAATCGCCCAGAAAGCCCACAAATATACAGGAAAGCAATTGTATGTTTCTCAAAAAATTCCCGGTTCATCTGAACTTGTTTTTAGCTTCCCTGGATCTTGGTCTATAAGTGATTGGTTTAAAGGAAGTTCCTTTGGAGAAATAAAGGTGGATGTTGAACTGTTACCTTCTCTGAAATCTATAGGTCTTGCTGATACTGCTACTGTCAATGAAGCCTTTCTCCATAGATTCAAGTTAGTTTTGGCTAATCCACAGTTTAGAAAGGAGGTATGTGAGCTCAGTTTCGCAGTGAAATTGTTTTCCTTTGATGGGCTATATGGTATTTACTTTATTTAGCTAGGTCCTAGAAACGTATGTGCTGTTTTTTCTTTTAAATAATCCAATCTCATTCTAATATATAGCGTATGTATTCATGATAAGTATTTAGATCTATCTTAATTCTATTGACAAGAAAATTATGAAAAAGAGCAAATGATCGATGATATATTGTCTGCTATTGGTATCCAATTTTTCTCAGGTAGGAACAGCTGCAGCAGAAGGGAAGCAAGTAGTGTTTACAGGACACTCTTTAGGGGGGCCTATTGCTATACTTGCAACTATTTGGTTCTTGGAACAGTATATAAGACCTAACCTCTCCAAAACGGCACCATTTTGTGTGACTTTTGGATCTCCCCTTGTGGGGGATCGCATTATGGGTCATGCAGTTAGGCGAGAAAACTGGTCTAGATATTTCATAAATTTTGTCATGAAATATGACATTGTTCCAAGAATATCACTTACCCCTCTATCATCCCTTCAGTACCACCTGCAGCAAATTCTCAATTTCTTTAACCCAAAATCCTCTCTTTACATGAAAAGACCTTTAAGCGAAGCTTCAGATTTCTATATAACTGTGATGAGGAATGCAGCTTCTATTGCTAGCCACGCTGCCTGTAAGATTATGGGGAGCACAAATCTGTTGTTGGAAACTCTATCAAATTTTATTGAGCTGAGTCCTTACAGACCTTTTGGAACTTACATCTTTTGCACAGGAAATGGGAAACTTGTTGTTGTAAGGAATCCAGATGCTATTTTACAGCTACTTTTCTATACCTCTCAGCTAAACTCTCGAACAGAATTGCAAGTAGTTGCTCACAGCAGCCTAAATGATCATTTGAACTACAAAGATGAAATGCAAGAATGCTTAGCAATGCAAAGTGTAACCTGTTTCGATGATCATCACCTGGAAGCACTTCGATTATCTTCAGATGATGTAAATTCGGAGGCTAGCGTGGCCTTGAATGACTTAGGTTTGGTAAGTTCGCGTCTTTCTTTCACAGGGTAGGTGATACCAGTTTCACCATTGAAATTTTCAAGCCTCAGCTAATTTTAACTTATCTTGGTCAATTGTAGTTGCTTAAAAATGCTCCATTTCTGCATTAAATTGGAGATTATAGTAGTTTACCCATTAGAACAGTTTGAATGACTCGTGTGTTGTGATTGTAGAGTGCAAGAGCTAGATTGTGTCTGCGTGCTGCTGGAGAATTGGAGATGCAGAAAAGGAATAACCAGACAGCAATTGATAACAAAATGAAAGATATTAAGAAAGGAATAGAAATGTTACAATCTTACAAAGCAAGATATCAACAAAAAGCAGGCTATTATGATGCCTTCAAGATTTCAGAGAACGTAGCAGACTTTGATGCAAATGTTAAGAGGCTTGAGCTTGCAGGTATATGGGATGAGATCATCGAAATGCTGAAACGGTCTGAACTTCCTGATGAATTTGAGGGCGGAAAAGAATGGATCAATATTGGAACCAAATACCGCCGCCTTGTTGAACCTTTAGATATTGCTAATTACTACAGACACCTGAAGAATGAAGACACAGGACCTTATATGGAAAAGGGGAGACCTAGAAGGTACAAATGCACCCAGAGATGGCTCGAGCATGCTGAGAGGATGTCAAATGAATCGTTGGAATCATGTTTTTGGGCAGAGGTAGAGGAGCTCTGCATTAAAGCTGGTAGCCCAGGCATCAAAGACAGCGTTTTGCTGCTAAAGAGAAAAGCTGAAGAATGGATTCGAGAAAGGGATTTAGATAAAGATGTGTTCTTGGAAGGTTCAACCTTTGACAAGTTGTTGAAAGAAATAGATCAGAATGTTTCATTCAAGAGCCCATGGAGTTCAACATAGTAAGGACTTCCTGCCATGTAATAATAAAGTTGATGTTGTGCAATAAGCTTAAACTTTTGTGCTTATGGATAAAAGTTGTAACTAGAGGATGTACAATAAAATTTTCTGAAGTTTTTAAGATAAAAACATCAAGTTTATCTTCTTTCTCCAGGAGTCCAAACCATAAAAATAAAATGTTCATATCACAGGCAACAAATGAGCATGGACAAATCAAGCATACCCAAATATATATATATGGGGAGAAAGTTGCCCTTTGTTGTAAGCAAATAATTTGATAATAATTATAATAAAAATAGCATTTTGCAATAAGCACTAAATCTTTTCCTTCATAAATATTTTGAAGAGTACGAGATATGAAGCCATAATCTCCAATGTCAAGGACATTAGTACTATAAACAATCATTGATGCTACTAACCACATATTGCCTGTTTCTTCAATTTTCCAATTGCTTAATACAATAAAAATATATCTATACAACGAGGACAAAATTTGTTGCTGGCATACATCAACTCTGTTTTTCTCGAGTAAAATTGGAGGCACTTGCCGGTTGCATTCCAAACCCTACAAAGAAATTTCCAAAAGATGCAGGAATATTCCAAATAGCATATGAATACAAAAATTTCTCCAATCAACTAACTTCACTTTTCAGTTTAAAATAAAAATACACCTTGCGTTGTAAAGAAACCAAATAACATCTTTCCCTATTGTTAATGGTCAGATCCAAAATTCTAAAAAATTCAGAACTCTAACCCCACATTATACAGAATAAAAGCAGATCAAATCATCCTATTTAAGAAGTTCCAACAATTTCCTGCTGAGCTTTTGGAGAAAGGTTGCATTAGTTGACATTCCAAATGCCAACAGTTTAAAAGAAATTGCTTGAAAAAAGTTGATCACATGCTAAGCAACAAAAGGAGAATACGAAATAGCCCATATTGGTCTATTACCAGATGTAGCACCATCATTATCATCTAATTGGAATACCAATACGTGTCAAACTCCAACCAGCAAATATATATCTACAAATGCCAAGTAAAGAATAAAGCAGATAATAATTTTACTTTCTTCCATGAGAGATCAAGCAGATAATATTTCTACAAGTGCCAAATATATTACCTAGTTAACAAGGAATCATTTCAATTTTCAAGTAGCGCTGCAAAAATCTCCTTTTGGAAAAGCCACAGAGACTAAGGTTAAGTTGATGGAGATAGAACCCGGGATATAATAACAAGCACATGTGGCAAAGGACAAGTATAAAGTCAAAAGAATCCTGAAGCGCCAACACTAATTTTTCCTGCTTCCTGATGGTGCATAAATGAGATTTAAGAATCATGTAGCCGCTCAGAAAGACAACCCAATACAACATCAGTAGAAGCAAAGAAAATATAACAAGCTAAAACATATCTATATATTAAATCTCCACATGGTAAACTTCCATATTACCTTCCACTGTTGCAAAAGCAAGGCATAGAATGATGCAAAAGAATGATTAAATGGATAGATACAACATGGCCAATAAGGGCCAAGTTGGGAGAGGAACGATTTTTGACCTATACAGTACCTTGGCTGTAGTCACACGGTTAGTCTATAGACGTAGCACAAAGCGACAAACGGTGACAATTCCTTCAAATATAATCAGTAAGAGAAAATGAGAGATCAAGTGAGGGCCAAAAAGAGAACCAAGGATCAAGAAAGGGATTAACCATTCAAGTTTTAACCAATAATCACAGCGTTAACATAGGCAAATTAAGATAGTAGGATCACTATGTTAAAGTTAACAAGCTTGCATTTTTCTATCTTAAAGCAACCCTTCAATAGCCTAAGGAAGATGAATCTAAAATATTTATAATTGTATAAAGTATACAGAAAGAAACCTGTAAAATGGAAGCTATTAAATACAACTTCGAGCCTTTGTAGTAGAGACATCTCTTCCCCTTCATGTGCAGACAGCAACAGATAATTTTCAAAGTTACCAAAGAACATAAATGAAAACGTAAATAAAAATAAAATAAATAAAATGTAAATCGCGTAGCAAGAAATGAGGCTAAGAATTCAAACCAAATATGTTTCCCTATCTTAGACTTGAAGGTTTCCTTCATGAAAAATTTCTAACTTCGTGAACCAAATCCAAAGGTTTGTAGATGAGTTCCTATGTCATAGCATCAAACTTCATAGCCTACTGTTACAGCATATAACATAACTGTGAAGCAGAGAGGGTATCATTGTAATAAGAACAAGTAACCAGAGATCAATCTCATCCATAAAACTTTAAAAGAATTATATCCCCTGTAAAATCATTTACCAAACTACAAGGATTATGAGATAAAGAGCAGAAAGTAGTCTTGTGAAGCATTAAAACAAAGAAGAGCATAACATACTGTAATCGTGTTTATGTATTTCTATACCACCTTATCTATTCACATACCAAACATTAGTTCCCTACACGCACCATACATATAAGAACCAAAGCTCATAGCAGAAGCAGTTATCAATTCTGGGTGCCAAAAAACATAACCCCACAGCTAGAATATCTAAGGAAATGTCTAAAACTAAAACATAACAAGAAAGACACACGCTAATGAAGAGAGATAGACCCAACACACACAATTCAACAGAAAGAGACTCATCCTCCTACGACCTTGCAACCATGCTATAAGAGCGAGACAACCTGAGAGTCAGGCTACCTCCATTCACACTCAACTCTGCCTGCCCAGCATTGTCCTCGTAGTTCTTCCTACAACCTGGACAGCGCCCATCACCATTTAGGATTCTGTTGTAGCAGAAGAGGCAAAGCCGAAATCCACATATACAGGGCAAGAAACTCGTGTCTGTGACATCCAATTCCTCGCAACATATAGGACAGGAAGAAGGCACATTAACAGTAATTGAATGCTTCCATGGGAATCCACCGTGTCCATAAGGTCTATCTGTATCCGGAAAGCTCCGCTGCTTGGACAAATTAGGCAGACTCTGTGGGCGAAATGCATCATCGGGCCTCCACGCTCTGCTGTTCCCAGGAGTCAATCTAGGTGGTTTCAAATCCTCACTACTAGAATCCAAATGATTCGAATTAGAATCTGATAGAGCACCAGATTGAAGATGTGGAGAAGATTCAGATTCCAAACACGGATTATCATTGTCGTTTTGGTTTCCTTGCTTGTTATCATCATTGGCAGCTAAAGCATCAGCCACGGCTTCCCAATCGTCCAAGCAATCATCAACCCCTTCTTCTTCCTCCTCTGTAATACTACCAGAGCAACAGCCGCCACTGCTGCTGCTACTACTGCTACTACTGCTTGAGGAGCCCGTGAAATTGGTGCTGGCATCGCCGCCGCTGAGAACACTGCTGCCGGTGGGACTGTGAGAAGGGGAATCAGAATCAAAGTCGTGATAGATCGAACCATTCTTCTCCTCTTCACCTCCTCTACCTCTTCGCCTCATCTCTAAATTCCCAATATCATTCTTCCTCTCATTGTCAGATGAGGACACTCTTTGGCCGGCAGGTTCATCCTTGCTTACTTTGTTCTTGACTGCAACTAATAGAATTCCAACACCACATATCATATCAATACCCCGCGAAAAGCACATAAATCAACAAATACAAATTAAACATTAGACATAAAAAAAGATTAAACCTTGAGAAAGCCATTGCTCACGACGCGCATCGAGCTTGCACTGCTTCAGTTTGGCAGACCGGTTAGCCTAAAATCCCAAAACACATAATGGAATCAATCAATCAATCAATAATGACAAACCCAAAGCGAAAGCAAATAAAACAAGAATAAAATTTTCTTGGCGAAAAGATAGTAAAAAAGAACTCAAATTGTAGAGAAATAAAGAAAGAAACACGATAGACACACCCTTTTCTTCTTTCCGAAATCCTTAGGAGCAGAAGCCGATGGAATGGTAGCGTTAGAGGTGATTGAATCAGAAATCATGGCTGCGAAACAGTGAGATTCAAATTCGAATTCGCAAAAACCCTAACGTATTCGATTTTAAAAGATAGAGATAATCTGAGAATTTCTAGAGAAACCTATTGGTACAGAGAGAAATAGATTGGATAACGGAAACTCCTCTGCTCCGCTCGCCCTTTTATTTCACACTCTCTCCAAATAAAGGCCGAGTTTAATTTATATAGCGCTTTACTTACTAAAATGTCCCCCTTTTTTACTTAATTTTCCATACCATTCTATTGAGTTAGCATGATATTTTCATGAATTCTAGGGGCAATCTCTGTGAAAGATTGAATGGCTTATACATCGCAGCGACGCCGGTTAAATTTCGACGACAGCGTTTTTCCGCTTGTCTTTCACTTGGCCATCAAGGAATATCTGGGATTTATTCCTCAAGATTTTTAACCTGAAAAACATGCATTAATTAGGTCACTGATAATGCATTAACTTTTAAACAGTTTTTGGTCATTTTTTCGTATATGTGTTTTGTCAAAAAAATAGCATTATCATATAAAATATATATTTCAATTTTTTAAATTCAACTTAATTTTTTTTAAATATAAATCGTTAATAATATTATTAAAAATTACAAATAAGCTTACAAACCAAAGATAAAACTTTACTATTATTAGATTCATTGATCTTTTAATAAAATAAAAAAATTTATATCCTTTTGAATGAAACTAAAATTAAAAATATAATATTAGATGTTTCCGCTTAGAGTTGATTTTGAAAAAAAAATATAAATTTTCGTAGCAGCAACTAGTTCTTTAATTGATTTTGATTCAAAATAATAACTCATCTGGATCTTCTATAACTGAATTATTTTTCCAATAATTTGCAACATGTAACGAAAATATATGAGTTTCGGTCATTATGCATCAACTGTTGGGTTATCCCACATCGGTTGTGAAAAGGGCTGGTGATCAAATTATAAGTGTGAGGGAAAACCACACCTCTTGAGCTAGCTTTTAGGGTTGAGAATGCCCAAAATCACCTATAATCAACTCCATCAATAGAGGAATAAACCTCTAATAAACAGCAGAAGCCTCAAATTAAAATTAAGGTTTAAAAATCTATAAATTCAACTTAATTTATTAATACAAAAGTTATATTTTCCACTAGTAAAATCTTTTAAATATTTTACGTCTCTACGAAGTCAACAATAGCATATTTTAAAACTAAACTCATTTTTATTTTATTTTTAACTAATGTGAAGAGCAAATTCATTTTATTTTTATATTATACTACTTTGTTTTCCATATATTTGCACTACTTGATTAGTATATAATTTCTAAACAGAACAAAAGTATGTTTTCAAAACTTCTAAAAAATATATATTTCCAGAAAAAAAAAAAAAAAAAAAAAGAATTAGTATATAATTTCTAAAACAGATCACAAAAGTATGTTTTCAAAACTTCTAAAAAAATATATATTTCCAGAAAAAAAAAAAAAAAAAAAAAAAAAGTTGAAGATGCATCTTGCACCGATAACTTAGGTGGCTATTTGGTCTTCGAAAAAAAAAAAAAAAAAAAAAGTGAAGATGCATTTGCACGATAACTTAGGTGCTATTTGTCTTCGATTAAATTTATTATTTTTCATTTTTTTCTTCAAAAAGTAAATAAAATCTATTTGTTTAAATTTGTTTAACTTTTTTTCTTTATTTTTGAGAAAACTGTTTTGACAATAAAAAATAAATTTTATGAAACCACAAATAATGGTTTACAGAATTGTGTTTTCTGTTTTTAATTATACATTTCTTTTTTTTCTCATTTTTATAAAATTTATCTTCGTAAAATTATTGTTGTCGTTGTTATTATTATTACTATTATTTTCTCTATCTATATAATATAATGTCATTTTATTTATTCAAAATATATAAACATATATTTTTATCTCTATTAAAATTCTCAGTTTTTTTTTATCTCTTCTCTATTTAGCATTATTTTTATATTTATTATTAGTTTTTCTATCTATATAAATTTAATGTCAATTAGTATTATTTATTTATTATAATATTTGGGTATTATGTTTTTATTCAACAAATTCCCAGCTTTTTGTTTCCTATCCCTTCTCTATTTAGTATTATTTTTATATTTATTATTATTTTCTCTATCTATATAGATCTAATGTCATTTAGTATTATTTATTTATTATAATATTTGGGTATTGTGTTTTTATTCAACATAGTTACTGTAACATTAAAATTTAAAAATTAAATTATAAAATATTTTTAATTATTTCATCTAAAACTTTGGATTTTTAAAAAATTTATTGTTAACTAAAATGTTTAATGACTTAATAAGAGAATTTTGATAATTGGAACAATTTTTCACGTTGTGAACCAAGAAAAAAAAAGAAAAATAAATTTTAGGGAAAAAATAGTTTTCAAAAAATAAATAATCAAAAACTAAAAACTGTTACATGTTTCTAATAAATAAATAAAACTCAAAGCAAACAATTATATCAACCATTAAATTTTAAAATTATATTAAAATAAATATAACTAGTGTTGTAATATTAAAAATATATATATTAAGTTAAGTTAAATATATCAACAAATAATTTTACCATTTTAATATAATTTTATAATTTAATAATTTTTTTAAAAGATAACCCATCCTTAAGGTGTATATATCTTCGCTTTTGTTTTCATACAAGTTAATCCTTAAAATAGCCAAATCTAAAAAATAAAATGAATAACATACTCCTATTTCGCAAATATAAATTCATTTTTCTTTTTTCACTCGTTTCAAATTATAATTTTATTTCCATTTTCTATAAAAAGATAACTTTTGCCGATTTATATTTTACTCTTATTCAATATGTATTTTTGTTAATAAATATATAATTATTATTAATAATCAAATCTAGAATATGGATATTTCATACTTATAAACTAGGAAAAAAACTATGAGGGTGTAATTAGGAAAAAAAATAAAAAAATTATAATTTAATACATTAACTACTCCGTTATCTTTTAAAAATAAATTATGATGCGACTCGGGACATTTCGTAATTAAGAAGGAAAAATAAATTGTCGTTTCCCTTTTTTAGAAGAGAGATAATTATTATATATATATATATTGAAAAATATATTATTATTACCATCAATCAAATCTTGAAAATCACTACCTATAATAATCAAATTCATAATTTTAAAATATGAATCATTACATTTAAATGTAAAATTAGATTAAAAAATCCAAATAAAAAATTATAATTTAATCAATTAAAGGATTTATATTTCTAATTATACAAAGGAGGGGGCATTAAAAACCCTAGCATAAGACACGTAGGCTTCTCCCTTACGTTCGCATTGCATGAAAATAGAAATTTTGTTGCACTTGTACCTTTATAGAAATAGCAACTTTTGCATTTAGAAATAAAAATCGTATGCCATTCGTGACTTGTTCATAAATGGTAAATTGGATGCGTCTGATATTTGGATTTGTAAGATAATAGTAATTTTGGAAAAAGACAAATTAAAGCTAATTAATGTGCCCGCCTTCGCTCTAATTAAGCTTAAATCAAAATTTTGGTGCTTAAATACCTCTTTTTTGGTTATCAATGGGGTGGGTGATGGACCAACCCTTCAAATTACAAATGACAATGGCTCTACAACATACTTTTTGCAAATTTCTGAAAAGAAGATAGAGTTTTTTTTTTTTATCATAAAGTTAAAAAAAAAAAAAATTTTTTTTTTATCAAAAGTTAAAAAAAAAAAAAAAAGTGCAAAGATGATGTTTTCAATAAAAAAAAAAAAAAAGTGCAAAGATGATGTTTTCATTTTCTTTTTTTTTTTTCCTGCGAAATTCAAAGTTGATATTTTGAAAATACCAAATAAAAAGATATTGTTAGGATGGAAAAATTTAGAAAGTTAATATTTTAAAAACACCAAATAAAAAAATTATAGTAAATAAAGTTTTTTCGTTTTTGAGAAATATAATAATTAAAGTCTATTAAATACGTAAATACACCACAGATAAATAATGAATATATAGCGTTGATTTAATTATTTAAATTATATCTAGATTAAATTATTTAAATGATAATTTCTTCAACTATCTAACTAAGTAACCACCGTGCGAATAAGGATAAGTTCTTAGATTAAAATCAATATTTTCTCCCATAATTATATATGAAATGCTATCAAATATTCTAAAAATAGATAAATGATATTTTTTTAGAGTAATTGGATCTATTTTCAAAATTAATAATATTGTGGAATTGAGTTTAATTGAAAAGATTATTAAAAAACCTTATAAAAACAATAAAAAAATTAATTATTGTTATTATACTAAAATAAAGGGACATAATTTGTGGTTAGGAATTTAGAAAATGCAACTATAGATCAATAATTAGAACCATCAATAATAGAAATTAGAAAGCGTGGATGACGTGTTGAGAATAGAATTAAAAGGTAGCCGGTGGCTGAAAATAGCACGACGTGTTAATTTTTGAGCAACGAAAGGGTTTTTTACCCTTCTTTTATTTCTGATTAAAGAATCTGGAAAAAGAATTAAAAAGAGATTTTTTTGAAATTAAATAGCTTTTAACGTTTTGATTAGATCAAAACTCTATATTTATTATGATTTATATATTTTAATAATATAATATTTAGAATAATTTTTAGAGGTTAAAAGATCATTAGATTAAATGTTCATATCCTACTATTTTGTATTTATATAAATTATTTATTTTTTACGCTTATTATACATATTACTTTTTTCATAAATTCACAAGCCTTAAAACTTACTACCAACAAAAATTTAGAAAATAAAAAGAAATAATTCATTTTTATTCTAAAAAATAATAACACATATGATAATAATATGGTAATATAGTAACAACAACGCACGTGATATATATTTTTTAATTTATCTATTTAAAAAATGAATACAACACACGTGATTGGAAAAGGATAAGAGTGTCATTAAGTGGCCTTTCGTCAGCCAAATTTCCTTTTGCTGGTAAGGTAGTTAGCTCCACACGCCCAATAGCGTACTACAGCTATTGTTTGTTTCACAACTAAAGGTTAAGACGAACTTTTTATAATTGCATATTTTTATTCTTTAATATAATTTTTGTAAAGCATATTTTAAAAAAGGAAATAAAGACAAAAAAAAAAAAAAATAAAAGACAAAAAAAAGAAAAAAATTACACAACAATGGCTTTACCAAAAA